TAGATACACTGCAACGTAACATTTGGAGTCACATTACCGCGCCTTGTGCTTTCACAGTCAATAACAAAATGATTGGTTGGCAGTGGCATGTCTTGTTAGCGGGATATTGTTGCGCTTGACATTTATCATAGCTTCGGGGTCGTGAACCCAAAGCTAAACAGCAATTGAATCATTAAATGTGAACGGCTGCAACTACTCCGTCTCGGAGGCACTGACACAAGTGTTTTCATGCTGAAACGAGTGACTAACTTCCGCTAAGCTAAACACGTCTTTGTTCAAAATGGGACATTATGCGCTAGGGGCGACATATACTCCAGGGTTGGAGAAACAATAGCCTCTTTAACAAGCAGATTATTTGCTGCATATTGATATTAATACCAATTACAATTATAGATGGATGTCTTCCTGTAAATCAAGTCATGTGTTTTGTCTAGAGGCCAAGAAAGAACAATCACTCCTATTTAGCTTTATACATTCAGCAAATTCAGTTCTTGTGACTGAAATGTAGACAAGCATTATGATTGTATCATACCAGAAAACAATGGGCATACAGATTAAATTGTCATCAACTTTATATAAAAACAATTTATTTCGATGGTCTCTCAAGGAGGTAATGAACCTCTCCCTGGCAAACATTCTGACTCCAATACTGCAGATTTCTACATCAACGTCATGTTTTGTGATTTGAAAACATTTCCACAAACTAAACAAGAAGACTCAACGTAGTTACCAGATACGTTAATTCCGAGTGCAGAATTTGGAGTTCAATAAAACAATCCAAATGGCTCAATTTCCACTCACAAGCTTAAAGCAAATAGGATGCTCAATAAAAACATTGCACAGGGCCTCTCTGTTAAAAGAATCAATAGCTAGAGGACAAAGAACCTATAGCTATCACTTAATTCTCTTATCAGTGTGATTTAGGGGACAGGGATGATGTTAAATAACTGTAAATCCTTATCTTTGACTTTGTGGGTGGTTTATGGCAGTTTCAACAGCAGTTCAGAGACAGAATGTCCATACCTTCTGCCGGTTACACGATTTATAGCTTTATTACTCTTTGTCTAAAAGAGCAGAGAAACACATAATTGAAAGGAAGAGATAGCAGCTAGCTGGAGAGGGGGCATGCAGTAACCGAGAATCATCATTGCAAGAGACATATCACAACGACAGTTTTATGGCTCAAGAGCCGGCCCTCTGTATTTTGGGGGCTCGTTTTTATGAAACAAGCAAGATCCAATTTTCTGATTCATCTGCAAACGGGTCGGACTGAGTTTAGTATTCTGTCGCCGGGCTTCAAACCGGCTCACATGAGCGTAGAGGTCACCGAGAGGACTGGAGGAGTTGGAGTCATGGGTTTACGCTCACACTGTCACAGGCCTGCTCATATTTTTGCCCTCAGTGACAACAAGGCTATTGTTCTCCCTGATAAGGCTTCAGTGTGCACAGTAATGGGAATTAAGCAGGGCATAAGTCACAGAGAAATTGGGTGACAGCAGATCAATAGATAGTGGTGAAGCCTCAGGGACCATTAGTGAAGAGGACCCTTTTGTTTGTCCACTGGTGGGGAGGGTTACTGGATGTTCAATTCTGAATTAACTGTCGAAAATAAAAAATACATTGAGCTCATAAGAGAAGAGGGAAGGTTAATTGGTGACACGGGTTCATTAACATGACCCGTGTGTTTCAGGGTTGTCTTTATTGAGGTCACGTCAACCTTTGGTTTTTAGGGGATTTTTTTAATACAGGCAATCTACTGTTGTAACAGGATGCAATGCAAGGTAATGCTCTAAACCAAGGTAATGCTCTTTTCTAAAGCTAAAAAGACTCCAGAGACTGCTTTAGATATTGTGACTATGCAAGGGCAAGTACTCCAAGTGGTTAGCTGTTATAAATACCTTGGTATCTGGCTTGATGATTGTCTTACTTTTGAACTTCAGGTCACTAATCTGCTTAAAAAGCTGAGGGTTAGACTAGGTTTCTTTTTCAGAAACAAGTCCTGTTTCTCTTTTGAAGCCAGGAAAAGGCTAGTCACTGTGACCTTTTTACCTGTGCTAGACTATGGTGATTTGATCTATATGAATGCACCTGCCCATTGCCTGGAAAGGTTAGATGCCGCCTATCACAGTGCTCTGAGATTTGTTACTAACTGTAAAGTACTTACTCATCACTGTACCCTGTATGCCAAGGCAGGTCTGCCTTCACTTACTGTTCGGAGGCTCAGTCATTGGTACATATTCATATATAAAGCCATGCTGGGTAAACTACCGACTTATATATGCTCTTTGATCTCACGGAGAGTGGCAAGTAGCTATTGCCTGAGATCCCAGGATGTGTTTTTATTACATGTGCCAAGTGCTAGGACTGTTTTAGGTTCTAAAGCTTTTATGTGCGCTGCTCCTCTAGCTTGGAACACCATGCAAAAAATATTGAAACTGAGCATTTTGATTCCCTTGCATCGTTTTAAAGCACGGCTGGATGAAATGTTATTGGATACCTGTCAATGTAAATAGGTTGCTAATGTATACCCCTGTAATTATGTTGTGATGTCCTTTTGTTTTCTGTTTGTTTTTATGTGTAACTAATGTACCGCAGGTCTCCCTTGAAAAAGAGATCGTTGATCTCAATGGGATTTTTTAACCTGGTTAAATAAAGGCTACAAACAAACAAACAAACAATGACTCTGAGTTATAAACCTTTGGCCCTCTGAGGTACATTTAGTTTTTGCTTTCTATCTATGTGTTTATTATTTTGTATTTTTAAATTAGTTGTATTAGTATGCTGTGTTGTCTGTTCTGCTGCAGTATGAACTCCAAAGCTAGTTCCTGACACGTTTTGTTGAAATGGCTATACTGTAGTTAAAGAAATTCCTAGATTTGAGGAACCAGAAGCAGCAAATGTTTTGTGTTATTGCATGAAAAAAAAATGTATATCAATAAATATTCTACCAAAATTGTAAACAATCACATTTTCTGTCAATTACTCAGCTTAACATTTCAGCACTACAACCATTTAGACCAGTATCAAAATACACATTTGCTTCATCAACAATGCCGTTTTAATTTTCTGTTTTTCTTTGTCTACAGGATTTGAAGTGTGTGCTTGAGAGCATGTGTGGCACACATTTCCGTGGACTGTGGGAAAAGTGTACAGCACGATTAGAAATGCCCTGCAGCACTATGCGGGAGAGGATGGAAATGCATTAGCCTTAATCTTTACAGTGTTCAAAATGATTAGCCAGAACGTGACAACTCTGATAAAACAGATTCTTCCCTTAAGTTCTTCAGGCAAATGCATATTGTGGCCATCACTCCGAGACATTCCCACTTAAATGCACTGATAATTTGTTGTTGCATTGCATTATTCCTGCCCCATAACCAGGCCCCAGCTGAGTGAACAATGTGCCAATGATAACTAAAGATATTAATTAGTATATCACGATGGCGGCACAAGCATTTTCACTATTAATACATTCCAAGCCATCGAGTAGTGATTTAATTATGAATTATGTAAATGGTTGCCATGAATCATTTAGGTCTATGCTTTTTATTAGCTAAATGGGAGGGCAGAATGTAGGCATATCACAGTGATGAGGATTTACACACTCGAGTGATGACAGCACAAGTACAAGAATATTTAGTGACTTGATCACAACTGCATGTAGGCCCCATGCTAATGGCAGAAAGCATTTCACTTTGATGAATAATTGACTAAAGATGTTGTTTAATGGCTATAAAAGGGTCATATTTACCCAGAGGTCTTAGCTTCTAAAGGTTCTTTGGTGTGTACATTAAGCCCTGCATTATACATTATTAACCAAATAATAAACATCATTCTATCCATTTTAGTTCATCGCAGTGCAGAGAGGAAGAAGCAGAGAATGACCACATCTGAGGAGCCTAAACTAGAGATATTTTGTCATTTCTGCTTAAAAATGGTAAAAATCTGAATATGAAAAAGGAAGTTTTCTTCCTGTGCAAGAGCCCAGAAAAAAACCGAAACATAAAAATGGCTGCAAAAAAATGGCAACATCCTGCATGTGATCCATGCAACTGCACAGGTTGTAGCAAGTCATTGTATACATTCAACCTAAATTAAAACCCATATCTGCATAAATCTTTTTTATCCTGAATGATGTTAAGTGCTCCTGCAAACAAAATAACACATGGCCTAAACCACTGATTTTAAATATAAATCAATAGATGAATCAATACATCATATTTCAATCAAATGTGGAAAGGGATATTTATTATGCAACAGCATAAAAGACAAATTATTGAAGACAAATTGAAGACTGAAGAACTACACACTCGGTGACACAGTCACGTACAGGGCATTTGTTTTGTATTACTTCATAGTGAAGCCCCTATTATTGTCACGTATATATTTTTTTCTAACACTTTTCATCTTGTCAAATTGATATAGTGCCAGGAACAAGGAGTATTTGGTTTGAAGAGAGCTGTCGGGCTGCACTTTTTGATGGAGTCGTATCGCTTGCTCATCTGTCAGTCAAAGAGAAAGACTGCTGCCAAAGTCAAAAATCAAGAGTGGAGAGTAGATGACTTACATGGCATTTCATTGTCTGGGAGAGAATTCTGACAAACACTGTTCAGCTGGATTTAAAATGTGTAGGGCATGTTTGTTAAGTAATTAAATGTATCATTGATTAACCAGGTGAATGTTTAATACAGTTGGTCACTTTAAGCTTAACAAGTCCTCTGTAGAAAAAGATAATGGACTCATAAAGTGTTCTGTAGTCTGTGATAAAAACGGAATATTGCCTCATCACACATACAAAGATGGCCTACACATTTCAGAGCACATTAATCATCCCGACATGTGACATCATAAAACACTTCTTCTCATAGACAGCAGACTCGAGTCAGGCAGGCCTATAAAATTCAATCATCACAACAGTGTCGACATTGTTCTGGCATAGCAGAAAATCCCCCGACCCAGGGAGCGTGTCTCTCTGCTGGATTGTTATGGTGTTTACTCACACAAGGGGCTTACCCCGAGGCCAGCTCCACACCTCGGCGTCCCAGCTGGAAGCGTCCGAGTCCCCTGGAGGAAGACTTTGTCCTCCCCTGCTGTCCAGACGCCGTCAGTGAGCAGCAGCCATGCAGGGCATCCTGGGAACTGGAGGTCAGGGAAAAGAGAGAGCATCAGATTTCAAGCTATCCATCAGGTAGAACAGGAGGGGTCATTTAGAAAAAATAACACTTGGTCCAAATCTTCTCCTATTTGAGAATGAATAGTAATCTCTACACAGTGTCCTTATCAAACAGAAACCGTGCTGTCACCGTGGCCTTAACACACTGGATGAGTTGGCATCATTTGTTTTGGTATCGTTTTTCTCAGTAATATTCATGCATTATGCTATCGTCTTTTATGCAGCACATAGGAAACTGATGATGCTCGTATACTCCCTCTAGTGGATATATTTATATCCGTCACTAGTTAGACCTAGAGTTTGTATTAAAATGGTGAATGTACATTTGGAAATTATGCTGCAAGTTATAAGGTTTTGCATTTGTTTTATTCATCACTAGTGAACAGCGTCATTGGTTGTCCAGTAAAAATATAATACTGCTTTGTCATTTGGGTTGAAGGTCTGCAGCCATGCCTGGTTTGCACTTCCTGAGACTTGACTTTTATTTATTTTATAAATCCTCTTTATTATTTAATTTAAGTTTTTGGATCGTTTATGCTTTATGAGAAGTATATCTACGAGTAAGAATCATGTTTATATCAATTTAAAAATAAATTGAAGCTATTTTAAAATGTTACTTGCTTCTGTTCAAATGTTTTATTGTTGCACTTAAAGAAATTGGGTTGGAGAAGCTCTTCTAAAATATCTAAAGTTGCTAATCCTCTTTAAACTTCAGATGTGATCAAATCTGTTTTCAGTCATGTAGCATGAAGACGAAATCCAAACAGTTGTTGTTATTTCCAGGACTGTGAATGTTTTGGGTTATATATCATCAGTTAAACAATGCTGACATTGTAACCGGAAGAAAACAGGATTAAATTAGTTAGTCACTTTAGGCCTTCCTCAGTACAATGCTATTTAACAAAATCAGATTCACACACAGAGAGTAACCCAATCACATGGTCTCTAATTTACACCTCATGTCATACTGATTTTTTCTCTTTAAATAATTACTGATAAATGACCAAAACAATTCAGGTGTTTAGTGTTCAACTGTCATACAAGCCATAATTTAATTGTTTTAAAGGCTAATGAAATGTGTGCACATCAACAAATATATTGCAAATATGCAATGTTCTTCATATCCAGTAAGTATTACTAACTGTAAATTCACTTTATTGCCTTGACAACACTGCCCCTCTCTGTACGAACACCTATATTACATGTCCAAATATTTTGAGTTTAACTTTTATATGCATTCTGTGGAGTAATTATATTGTGTTGTATTTAATTAATAAAAAAATTGGACTTCAATAACATATTTAAAACAAACAGTTCCATTTTCTGTGAATTCATGTAAATGTTAAAGTACCTGCATATATATACAATCCATACTACCACAAAATAACAAGAGTTTCACTGCAGGGCTTTTAGAACTTGTTACAGAATGAGTGCACATAGTGGTATGAAAACTTCCACTCAATGAACTGTTGTCTACCATTGTTCTGTTACACAAATAATAACATTATTATTGTCATATACATTTCCAAAAGAAAGGGACATGCACTAGTACGCAGCAGTGAGTCCCAACATTACAATGGGCGTCGGTTTTACAGTCCTATCATGAGAGCTGCAGCAGGTCATATGACCATTTCTACATGAATGATTCGATTTTTGTAAGGGTCGTTTCAGCAGGAATTCATCAGTTCAGTTGGGCACTCTCTGACGTCCAAGCCGCCATCTTCAGACGCAACTTTGTGGTGAGTTGTTTTTCTGTTGAAACCGGTTGCAACTGCATGATTGTTTTTAAATGTCATGGATGCATTATATCATCAACACTTTGTTCATTTGGCTTTGCTAAATATGCATTTGTTTTCTTCTGTTTAGTCGGATTAGTTGGAGTAGCAACACTGCATTTTCCTTGTCTCATCGCCACTAAACACAATGGCAATCACATGATGGCATTGTACATGTGACTGATAGTATGTGGATAGAAACTCAACAGACAGTCTCACACGGTTACGCGCCCCTGATCCCTCGCAGCATTACGGTAACGCGCGAGACAACACGGAAGCGCTAAAGCTGGGATCAGGTTGGGTTATCCGTGTGGTATCAAAGTTGTGGTTTAAAAGATGGCTTTTCGTTATATATCCAAAGAGGCCCTGGCTGGATCTGTCACACTGGGAGTGGTTTTATTCACCGGTTATTTAATTGGTAAGAGAGATTTTTTTTTAGCCTTAATTCTTCACGTTAAAGCTTTACAACGTCGCTACTATGCCAAGGTAACCTACAGTATCAGCAGTGAGGCGTGTGTAAGGGCGTGTTACCAGTAGATGGCACTGTGTTTTTTATGAACATCTAGTGTTATTTTGTAGACTTCGATCTGTAGAGTAGGGAAAACGTATATGAAACACATTACTATTTTGCTTGTTTCAGTTTCAAAAAGTAATACAAGTAAATAATATTGCTTTAAAACTGCCTGGAAGCAGGAGCTTTCAGTATATATCTGAGCTTAAGTGTTGTGGACATATTGTAAACAAATCAAATCACTCTTTAAAAACAATCTGAGAATACAAAGAATTAGGCAAGAATATTTTCCTTAAAGGTCCCATGTCATGCTTTTCCAGTTATTACCCGTCCCCTTGTGTATTATGTAGCTTTTTTTGCATGTTAACGGTCTGCAAAGTCACAAACCCTCAAAGTACACCCTGTAGCGAGTAAAACTCTAACACAGAAAAGACCTGTCTATGCTGCCCCAGAACGCCTCGTTGGAGTTTTTCTTTTTCTTCCTGGTACCAAGTGACGTAACGACGACCAAATGGACCAATCCGTGGAGCTCCTCACACACACACACACACACACACACACACTCACTCAGCCTTATCTTTTCTCAGCTGCGAATCCGCGATACTCCGCAGAGTTTCGCAGGCACACTCCGCCTTATCTTTTCTCAGCCGCAGCTGTGTGGATCTCCACTCACGTGTGTGTGTGCTCAAGCTGAGTTCAGGCTGAGTTCAGGCTGAGTTCAGGCTGAGTTTCGCCGTGTCTCGCTGTCTCGCAGACCCCACGCAGCAACCAGGAAACGACACCAGTAATCCAGTTCACACTGTCGGCTCCTCGAGTCTCAAAGGGCGGAGCAGCGAGCCCCGCAGCATTCTCATCTGTTTGTCATTACTGGTGTCATTTTCTGGTTGCTAACAAACGCCATTGTAACACAAACACACATCAGAGCACAGTGGGCTCATAGGGAGGGGGGGCAGGAGCTCCAACAAGGCGTTTAGGACAGAGAGTGAATACACATACTCTACAGAGATGCTGTATGAGAAACCAATGTGATTTTGGAACATTGAACAATGTAAATCTATTCTAGTAGACCTCAACAATGGAATTATGATCAGTAGAAATGGCCATGACATGGGACCTTTAAGTTCTTGTCTGGTTGGTCTTAATACTAAACCTTTCAATGTGGCTGTGGTGTTCATAACCGACAATGGAAGTGATGCATTAAAGATTTTTGAATGAGTGACCTATATACGAGTCTTGACTAATGATACAGTTAAGCGTTAAATCCTGTGCATTGTCAGGGTAGTTCATGGATAGAAAAACACAAGCAAATAGTTACATTAATGTAGTGTTTCGGAACTAGGAAAGAAGGCATCATCATGGTAATCCAAATGTTCAACCTCAGGGTGTAATGTAGAGGGTTTACGGAGTCCTACAAATAATACCCGGTACAAAGTCTCCCTCTTATCATCATTCCCTTTCCGCTTCAGCTTCCAGCTCCTAATGACCCTGATAATAATGGTAAATACTAAACTGCAAAGCCTTTGAATGAGTAGGTACAAAGACACCGTCACCCCAATGTGTTAGTCTAGACTTAGTCATTGTATGTTCTCCAATATAAAGATACTTATTGCTTTACAATTTCCAGTCTTCAATTCCCTATCTGGATCTGTGACTGCTGGTGCAATAATTGCATTAGCCCACTGAGATCATTCAAGTTTTATTCTTGAGTTCTTATAATCAAATAACTACTGTACATTAAGTGGACCAGACTTCAGTTTCCTGAAAGATGTATAAGCTGGATGGTAAGTTGAATGACATCATGCTCTTAAAATCCTTATAATTGTTTCATGTTTGTCCTCAGGGAAAAGGAAATCTACCAGAATGAGCATCTTCAAAAGTCACGGTGAGGGAAAAGACAACCCACTGATGCAGTATGTTCTCAACAACTCTATGAGAGAGCATCCAGCCCTGAAAAAACTCAGACTGGTAAGCACATCTCAGTATACTGAGTACGGATGTGTTCTGTCACAATTAAGCACTTATATCATAAAATCATGTTTCACAACTGCTTATTGCTTTCAGAGGACAATGGAACACTCCTGGAACATCATGATGGTCGCCTGCGAGCAGTCGCAGTTCATGGCCAATATGGCAAAGCTTATTAAAACCAAGAAAGCATTAGAGATTGGTAAGGGCCTCAGACTTAACATCACACTATAGCCTCTGTAATGAATACATCTCTCAGAATTGATATTCAACAATCCTTAACATCTTCAGACTCCAGTAAAGTACCTTTTAATGCACACAAGACGCCACGTTTCTAGGAGGAATTGGGTTGCTGCAGAGAATTACATTTATATTAGCTGTAAACCAATTCAAATTTGTTTACATAAAGAAAAGCATATTGTGCAGAAATGTCATTTCATGACCACAACAAAGAAACTTGAGTTCATGTAATCACACTGCCTGTACAGAAACAGAATATAATAATTTGCATTTTTTCCAAAAGTGTTAATTTTGTCCTTTCTGTCGTCATCCATTGTGCTGATTTGAGTGCCCTCTCATTGCAGGAGTATACACAGGTTACAACACACTAAGCATTGCACTGACTTTGCCCGATGATGGAGTTATTGTGGCATGTGATGTCAGCGAAGACTACACCAACATTGGCAAACCCTTCTGGAAAGAGGTACTGTTCACATCTATGTTTTAGTATTTGTCAAAGCACTGTATTTTGATAGAGTAAAGTATATGATTTGTAATACTGCTGTATTGTTCCTAATATTGCAAAGTGCTGATCAGTGCAGAGGATTTTCTTACACCACAGGTAATAGATGGCAGCACTGTTTGACGCACTTTTGTGCATCTGCATGTGAAGCAGAATTCCTTCAGTATCTGTCAGTCTTTTGTGTGATAAAGGACAAATACTGAACCTGTCTGCCAAGTCATTTAATAATCATACACTCATCATGTTTTAAATGATTGAATCAACACCACCTTCAGAATTTAATTTCATGACTTTCAAGTTGGTCACAGTTAATAATTTCAGACTTTGACTTTTTTGTGAAATATCTGTTTACATGCTTGAACTTCATATAGATTATTGTATTCTAGTGCATTTGGGATACTTAAGCTCATGTACAATATGTAAACATACAATCAGCTGTATCCAGTCCCATATCCCTCTGCCTGTATCTTATTTTGATTCATCCAGAAAATAAAAAATAGGTTATTGTAAACATCATGCTTGTAAAAATATCTTCATGTACTGCATAAATAACCTTTCATCTGACAATTTATCCGCTGCACTTTCAGTTTTGAAATTATCCTTGTTCTTTTTCCAGGCTGGAGTGGAACAGAAAATTGATCTGCGCATACAGCCAGCTCTGAAAACTCTGGGTACATTGATACTTTTATTGGAATAACTTTAATTTGTCTGATATAACAAATAGGATGAATTGCATTTCACATTAATGACAGCTAACAATGGGTTAAAAGGTCATAAAGTTATTTTGCCAAACAACCAGTCTTCATCATTACAGTATTTTCTATAGCAAAACGAAAATAATTGCTTTAATAAAACTTGCCACCAACTGTTGTTCGCGTTCCCGCCACAGGGGGCAGTAAAGATCCCTGACAGTTTAGAGCAATTTAATAAAGCGAAAAAGAAACGCAGATGAGGTTCACTTTTTATAAAATAAATAAATATGCAGCTAAACTTTTCGGTGAAAAATGCACAATGCAATTCCACCGTGTTTCTTAAATGGTTTCCCTCGCAATTGTGACAGTAAGTGTCACGTGATTATCTGAAGTGTAGAATTTTACAGCTGAAATCAATTTCCTTAATTACCATTTGGCACACCAATCAGGTCCAGCGAGCAGCTGCGTTTTGGCTTAACATATTCATCTAAGCTAGTCAAATGCTAAGTAACACAGCTGGGGTTACCTGCAAATATAGCACATAGTTAGCTACCTGAATGTAGCATTTAATAGCATAAAACGACTAAGGTTTATATAAGTTTTCACTCACCTGGATTCCAATTGTCATGCCAAAGAGGTCTCTGTGTTTGATGCACTTCTCTTTATCCTTTGCATTTCATTCATCTCTTGTGTGACTTATTTCCGAATCTGTGAAATACATAACGTCTATAATTGTTTAAGCTATTTTCTGAAGTTTTTCCACGTGAATCAAACTTTCAAGGAATGGTGAAGTCGCGGTGAACGTCACGACTCGAGTCGACGTTGTGTGACGTCACGTGCCATTCATCTAAATCGTGCTTTAGCCTACCTATAATAGTTTTTGTATTGTAAATTATATATTTTTTACTTTAGTAACCAGTAGGCTATACGTAATAATTATTATGCCTGGCCAGTAAGCAATAATATTTTTCATATAGTTTCATTATAATGATAATATATTATTAATAATAATAATAATAATAACCTGAAGTGTAATTTATGTTCTCTTTTATTTCTTTCAGATGATCTGTTGTCAGATGGCCAGGCTGAAACATTTGACTTTGCCTTCATCGATGCAGACAAAGGAAACTACGAGAACTACTACGAAAAATCTCTGCAGCTGTTGAGGAAAGGGGGCATCATCGCCATCGACAATGTAGGGCCTTCACAAAGACATTAAGTTGGAGTAGGATATTTGCAGACCGCTAATCCTCTAAAATTGTTTTATTAATTTTTTCTGCAGGTGTTGTGGGGTGGAAAGGTAGTGAATCCATCTCCTGACGACCAAGACACTGTGGCTATCGACAAGCTAAACAAGAAGTTGCACCGAGATGCTCGCATCAACCTGAGTATGCTAACCATAGGAGATGGGCTCACACTAGCTATAAAATTATAGAAAGATGTCTGAATACAATGATTCATAGGTAGTGAGCATTACCTCTATAACACTGCATATCCTTTTTATGGGACATGTTGTGGAAGCTGGCACATGTATTACTTCATAATCTGTATAGTTTAATAATTTGTTGCGTTACGAGACAGCATTTCAGTTAAATTACGTTTGTATTTCAATAAATAATCTACATGCCACTTGTTTTAGTAGTTTCATTGTTAAACTAAATTGTCTTTATACCATATTCCACTATTATTTTCAAATAACAGGAGGCAATGAAGGTTGATTTCAGGAATTTATTGCAAAGGTTAGACACACACCAACACACAAACAGCTTCCTGATTAGTGTCACAGTCCTCAAAATGGGAAGAAATGTTGAAGATTCACACAGATATTCTTTCACTCGAGCCACACTGAGGAAAAGAAAATCCATTTAGCATTGTCTTGCAACTAAAAAGCAGCTTTAGGTAGCAGAGGTCTCAAACTTATCACACAGCAGCATAAGTGAGATAAGTGATCTCAGCCACTACATTGGCTGAGATTTTGATAAGCATATTTAGTTGGGAGTTAAACTTCCAACTGATAGAACATCACTACTAAAATATAAATAAAATGTGCAAATAAAACAGAGGAGAAAGAGTTTGAATAAATATGTATTCTACTGTGCAAATTAACATCTCAGATATACATTCTACATCATCACACATCAGCAAAATAAAGTTTTGTTTTCTGAAACCATACCTGAACATAATGCACCTAGTGGAGGAATTTTCCTATCTCTATGGAGGATATATTGGCAGAAGGCGTAAGTGATAAACACATGTAATTGAAACATGACTAGTAAGGTGTAACCACATTAAAAAAGAGGCTGGTGGAAAGGGTTCCATTCTAACAGTGATAGAGAACTGGGCTTCTTTTTTGTTTTGGCTTCGACTCTATAATATCTGTTGCTGATATTTCTCTTCTTCAAAATGGCGGAGCAGGTCCTCATGCCTCCAGCTCCAGGCCCAGACCAACTTTGTGACCACCAGCATTGATGCTCTTCCCATCCACCAGTGCTGAGAGGATCAGTTTCATACCTGACAGAAAAATGAAATGCATAGATATTTGTAATTCACTGAAAAGAGGTCTATTGTGTTTTATATTGTATAATGGGATGGTCCTTACCAGGCCGAAGGGTCTGAGTGTATCCAATTCCCACCAAGCTGGCATTATTCACCTTAGCCTAGAGAGAAAGCATTAAAATCACTTATCGAATATTAAGAGTGTTCAGATAGCACTTGATATATCGGATGTACTTCAAATGTATGCAAGCAAACAAAAGTACAAAAGAAAAATATGTACATTTACAAAATGTCCTATCAAGCTTCTTTTTTTGTTTACATGTCTGAGACACCCTGCTGTCAAAAATGGTGGGAAATAACTTCCTTTGGGAATAAAAAGGCGACACTTACAGATATGGAGGAACTGGAGTCTAACTGGTATTTTGCAGCAATTCCAAAGCGAGTGCCGTTGCTTCCTGCTGTCCAGGCGAGATTCACAGCAGTCTCCAGGTTGTCGTTAACCTTCTGGTAAATGGATCCACCAAACTCTGAACCATCATTTCTGAGGGGTAAAAAGAGCAGAAAATGGCACCATCAGTTGCATGTCAGGATTCTTTTCAAACCTTTTCCTCTCACAAATAACCTCATGATCAATACACATGAAAGCTATTTGTAAGTTATTCATTAAGCTTGGTTCAAATATTTGCCGTAAAAAATTACTTACACATTGGTGTGGAGCTGGAAGTCTCCGGTCTTGTAACCAACAGAAAAGTTACTCTGGGTCATCTTTGATTTGGCTGAGTCAAAGGTCATCTGGTAGCCAGCCAGCCAGCCCTCGTAGCCGGCCACTCCAGATCCATGGATGGTAGGTCCAGCGAAATCCAGATCCACATCAACACCAACATTAACGTATTCCCTTTTGTAAGCCGTCTTGACCTTGCCGCTCTTCTTGCTGTAAAATAATTTAAAAAACAAAAGTGAGGAAGTGAACAAAAGCTGTTCTTTACACAATGATTGTACGTCATGATTTTACAACAAACATAACAGCTTACCCAGTATTTGGTGAAAATGTAGTGTCAAAAGTGAGTTTCAGTCCTTTGGTGATCTACAAAAGAGATAAGTCCATCAGTCTCATTCATTTCAGGGGTTTTGCATTAGTAGGATGATCAGCGACATAGCAGTTTTTAATTTACCTGATCCTCAACACAGATCTCAGTGCCAAGTGTGTTTTCTGTGGTCCACTTCTCTGTGAACGTCAGCCCGTACTCAGCCCACTTGTACTTGGTTTCCAGGGTTCCGGTGACCTTGCTGGTGTCTACATTGGATGAGCCGGACGTTTTGAACTCCTAAAGTGAATAAAAGAGGGCATTAATCCTACTTGCAGACAGTAATTTACTACTTAAGAGAGTAAAAACAGTACAAATACAAAGTATTGTCAAATACAAATATTGTCAGAGATTTTAATATCAGCTGAAATTAATGTTTAAACATAAACACACAACATGAAAATTATTCTAAAAATATTTCACCATTACCAAAATATGTACTGAATCAGGACTTGACAGTGCTCTCCGATAGACAAATAATGTTTCTCAATGACCTTGAATTCATTTCTGGCAGTTTTGAACGCTACTTTCGTGATACTTAAGAGGCCAACATTTACGTTGATAACGGTATATCTGTGATAACCTCAAATCAGCTTAAAATACCTGCTATGCATTATTGTATATTAATAGTAACAGTTAAACTCACCACTCCACTTGTAGACTTTGTCTTCACATCAAGCTTAACCAGTCCAAAACCTGCAAAGAAAAATTACAATGAGAAACTACTTACTGGGCCGACCTGTCCTCTAAGGGTCTATAAATACACATGTATGAAATGGTCTTTTATCTTGCTTTCACTTACCATATCCCTTATTGAAAATGTCCTTTGCTGATTTTCCAAGATCTGCATATGTTGGAGGAACTGCCATTTTGCCTATCACAAAAAGAAACATTTCAGGTGTTATTGGTGAAAAAGGACCATAAATGTACTCATATATTCAAACACATGTGTATAGAAATGTCAGAAGAACTGCATCTGTAAACCGTTAACGGATTGTGTCACATGACAGAATATATTGCAAGGAGGCAATAGCTCTAAATTATTATTCCTTATTTTTCCTATCAATATTTATATAAATACAGCAGTGTCCTGTGTAGTAATAATATATAGTATGGATTTGGAGTCAGCAAATCCCATGATATTAAAGCTTTTGAAATAAACGGAATTGACCTTCTAATACAATATTTATGTTATGTTATGAAAACCAATTTATGACACATCAGCAATAAAAAAAAACATTAGCATAGAATCCACTATTATGAGCAAGAAAGTATTACAAATTAACATTGGTTTTATATATTCAGTCTATGGTTTTGTGTCCCTACAAACTAAGGTTATGTATTAATGTTCCCTTAGTACAACCCTGTGGTTAAGAAGAGCAATGGCTAGGATGTGAGCTAACTGTCCTCTGACTGCTGAGTATAGAGTGATTGTCTGCCAACAGTCTAACCTAAAACTAACTCTACCAAGGACTTTCAATAGTTACACTGCCACTGCCAAACACCTGCCCCACCGTCTCCATTACTCTTAGATTATAACGTCCTCTTCTTCATTGTCAAGGTTAGGCCGGTGGCTAGCAACTGTCTGCTTACAGTAAGCAGGTACACGACGGTAACGTAAGGACTAAAGGCGTATCAGCATACCGCGCAAAACACCATGTAATGTATATTTACCAGTCCATTACTAATACAATTCTGCATAAATATGTTAAAAATAGTAAAGCACCTGTTTTCAGAGTAACATTGGCAATAACATGATTCTGACACTTTGCCCGAAATACATTTTCAGGGGAAATTGAGGTTCTCGTTTTCTTTAAAATATAAATTAAAATAAACATTACACTGGTGTCTGCTAAAGTATTTTGAAGCAGTTTCAACACACGAGGGGGGTAGGGGGCGTTTTCTAGCTAGCAAATGGGACGATTGATAAATACGTTGCCGATATTTAAACAAACTACAACATTAGGAAGCTCAGTAAGTATACGGCCTATTACTTACCGAGTATTACTGTTGTCGCTGATTTTGCTATCAACTTGTGAAATGGGAAAAGCAGCAGAGACCGGCCGGTGTGTGTAGGACGATATGGAGGAGACACCGCAACAAACAACCTGGTGACCTCGGAGCCGAAGGACCCGCATTGGTGTTTATCTTGTGCCTGTCTGAAATCGAAAAGAGAAGAAGATTTCGTTATTTTCGGACAGTTGATTTAGTATTTATTCCATTGTTTGGCAACAGCAATCATGATTCTTGTCGACTGTAAAAGACATAATTTGTCATGCCATACGTAATTTTACCAGCACACCGGCAAGTGTAAGACCTCTAAATCACCATGGTTACCAATTCGCTAATTAGCTTTTGAACTACTTGCTTTTCTTTTTTCTTGAACTATAAAGGAAAAAAAAATCGCTACACCAGGAAAAAAAAGAAAATAATAACAATTACAGTGACTACTTCAGAAAAACATGTCTTTGTCAAAAAGAGAAATTGTACCTTATGTAACCCTGTTGTCCAAATTCTCGGATTCCAGCTTCATACATTTGTGAACCCAAACTAATATAGCCTATTATTAGAGTTGTGGAAAAAGTGAAACATTTGAGGGACGTCATCTTTGGCTTTTGGTAACACTAAACATTTTTCACTATTCATATTAAGTAAGAAAACAATAAATTGCAGGCCTACCTGAAACTAACACAATATGTATCTCCCCTTTATTAAACTTGTTTCAAAGACTTCCAATATGTCCACTAGAAATCTAGGGCTTTGTGTTGGATAAAATGTACATTAAACATTAGCTTTCTGTAGTTTAACAATCTATTCAACTCTGCTGACGACTAATCACATTATCAATATTTGTATACTGCATTCATTATGTGGTTGTGCAGTGAATGGGATAAAGAAACAAGAACATGGACTTTGATTTCAACTCTTTAATGATGGAAATGACTGACTGTGACATGAAACAAGTATTGTGGCTTTGCGTGAGCATTAAAACAGAGAAGCATCATTGCTCAATGAAAGGATGTGTTATACTGTCAACTCCATTGAGAAATACAATGTTTTTAACATGCTGTAATGACCACATCAATTACAACATGTCTCTTAATACAGTGGCAGGTTTCACTCAATTAGATGTAGAGACCTATCTGAAATCAACATAACACTCAAAAAGCACATTGTGTTTCAAATAAATACATAGTTAAGAGCAACTGTAAACCCATTTCTCCATGTGCATGTTGCTGTAACACTGTATATGAAATATAAAAATACCTATCGACGGTTACAAAATGAAATAAATTAATATTAACAGGTAAATACAAATTTGAGGATCATTTGTAAGAACTATTACTAAGGTAAAGGATGTTAATCATCTACACTTTATGATTTAAAAAAGCACTATACAACTATCTCACATAAAAAAAATTGCAACATTTCTACAGAGAAATCTATCATAACACTCAAGGTAATTGGCAATTGGAATTATATTTAAGACAACTGGAAATACATTTTTGATTCCATGATTTTGGCTGAAATTATCATACTTTTAACAAACTGTATCTTTTATTAAGCCATGGATTACTGTGTCAACACTTAGTAACATTATCGAAAACGTAAGCATTATTTCAAGGAATGACAAAGACTTCCAAACAAAACGGCATGTAGCATCTGTTTCTCAAAAGGATGAACAATATTTTTGCTATACAGGAAAAAGCAACAGTGTAATGTCTTACTGAATATTGCTTCAACAGTGGTCCATAGATTTTTGTTTTGATTAATTATAAAGTTAGAGGTTAGACAAAATGTTAAGATCCTAACTTTGAAATGATCAGGGATTTTAATTGCGCAGAAAATGGCCTACTGCTGTGAAAGATTAGGTACACGAATGCCTGAGAATTTCTTGATGCGGCTTCCTTTTATCATGTGCTATCAAAATACTCTAACAGGCTTAAGAGTTAGTCTTTAAGTTGGGAGATACTTAAAAATGCATAAAATGACATCCCTTTAGAGGAGAAATAAGAAACTAATACATTAGACACATCCTCTCTGTTCACCATAAAAAAAAAGCTGAGTTTTGATGGGGCTTTTAAGAAATTCTGTCAGATTTTAGTTTGATCTGACTTAAAAAGGAGACAGACAAGTAGAAGAAGGTTAGAAGATAAATCCTAGAACATAAGAAGGTATGGCTCAGTGTATCCCTCGGTGCTAACAGGATCACAACAGTAGTCTTTGTTGATGAAGACATCACACACCGCCTCAGTTGGCAACTTGACAAAGCAGACTAAACAGCACAGGCTAAGAAGTGTCTGACAGAACCGCTACACCTGCTCATTTTCCAATAAACTTCCGAATCACAGTAGGTCTAGTGAAGGGCCAACAGTACTCGTTGGGGACGGGCCCGTTGACGTTGCACTCAAAGAAGGAGAACATGGGGAACCAGATGCGAGCTCTTCGACTCTGCTGGTAGGCCCGGGTGTTGGCCAGAGTGTGGTAGTACAGGAAGAGTCTGGTAGTGATGTAGAACGCTATGAACACGTCGATGGAGTAGTGTTCGTGTGCAGCCAAGATGAAGAAGATGCCAAAGAGATTTAAGACCCATGACAGTGTGTGAATAAAGTTCCAGCTTCGGGGAGTGTCTGTATGAGAAATTAGAAGAAAGAACGGTTTAAGATACATTTTTATGTTGCTGTTTGGAGTCTTACTACATTATCCACACATCTATCATGTCCTATGTAGACAGATTATTTCTGACCAGGTAAGACTGAGACAGGCTAGTTATAATATTAATTGTAATACCAGTGAGAGACACTGGACGGCACCAAAAGGGCAATGATCCCAAATATGGTTACAATGTTTCTTCTTCATGATTTAGTACTTAAACCTTCTGATGTGACAGTTTTTAACAGCTCATATTTTATCAGCTTACATATATATATTTAGATATTTTTAAGGCAGGATAAAAAACTGCAAATTGTCTAGAATTTCAGCTTAAAAAACATCAAGCCTTCAATTTAGACTTTCCATTAATTCAGACATCCAATAAAAACTATAAAGCCACATTTGAACGCAATACTTTTTAGGTGTTAAAAGTATTCGTAACCCAATGAGTAGCAGACACACATCTCCTCTAGAGCTTTAAAATGACCTAAGGCTTCACTTTGGTCTTTAATAAATCAAGTTAAGTTATTGTGAGTTAATATCTGTTATCCGTGTCCATTTTAAAAATGTTGGCAGTTTAGAGGACTTCTGAAGTTCAAAGTAGTTTGGACTTAAAAGCTACTCACACTCTGTGACAAAGAAGTTGAGCAGAGTGATGACCACAGTGTGCCCGCTGAACATGTAGTCACCACATGTATGCACGCCTGTCAGGGTCATCCCAAATCCGCTCCAGATTGCCACAGCTCGCTGCAGTTTGGCCCACGTGTCACCATACATCTAGTTGGAGAAAAGTGAAAATATCACTGCAGTCATCTTTCAAAGAGGCAGCATTTTACATAGAGTAGACAGAACATGCATTATGTATTACCTTTCCTGAGCACTGCAGGTGCTGTCCTGGCACAGACAGGGAGGTGACAAACATGGTGACGCAGCGCAGCATGAACACCGTTCCCATGAGGCTGCACATGCGCCGCAAGAGGATGGACCTAAAAGCCGTGTGACATAGTTAGCTTCCATAGCATTGATTTAAGGGACACATTTTAGGCATCCGAAAGGAATATCACTGTGGTGGTGTAAAATTTGCACGGATATGAAAGTACTCTACCTGTGTTTATGGAGCAGCAGAACCAGCAACCAGACATTACACAGGATCACCCCACATGCTTCAGCCATGGCAAAGGCCCAAGGTATTCTAGGCACACTGTAAAAAATAAAAAAGTCAAAATACTATGGTTAAAGTTGAAATATGTAAGTACACTTAAGCTGCAACTGCCTTTAACGTGTTTTATAATGCCAAAAGACATTTCCCTGAAATCAGTTCCCCCTTAATAAACATCAAACGCTTAAAGCTGTTCATAAACAATGGGTCACACTGTAAAGTAGGTCACTTTTAAAAACACTCAAATGTTCTCTTTGCACCAAAGTAAACCTCTGAGGAATATGTGAGGACAATTATAGAAACTTGCTTCAAGGAAGTAGGGCAATTATAATGTCCACCATCTGCTGTGATATCCTGATTTATATGTATTTGATTAACTTTCTCTATGGCATTTCACAGCTGACAAATCTTTTTTTTTTTTCATGGCTTCCCATTGCACCAAGTCAGGTAAAGCCTCTCAGTAGTAGTCAAACACCCACCTGTCTAGGAAAATATCTGGCAGTGGAGGGTATGTGCGCATGTCAGGCACCCTCTCATGTACTATAACCATGACAAAGGATGTGAACCCAAACACGAACACCACATAAATGGAGCTTAGCGCCGTCTTCCAGTACTCAGGATCCAGGCGCCTTGGCTGCTGCTTGTACTTTCCATTAGTGTACTGGTGATACTCCTCTCCCACTGGTGCTGTGTCAGTGCTGTCACAGTCTCTGGTTGGGTCCCCGTTACACAGCCAGTCCAAACTACCTCCAGACCCTGTGGGAGAGTGGCCATCAAAGGGAAGACCCAGCTCCTCCAACACTTCAATGTTCTGTTTCTGTAGTTTGCGTATGGACACCATCAGCCGCTTGATGTCCCCCAGCACTTTGAGCTCCAGAGGTGGTGAGCGGAGGTCGTACTCGCTGAGGGCGAGCAGACTGGTGCCGTCCAGCCGGTGCTTGTTGCACAGCAGGTCCACATAGTCACAGAATCCCTCTTCTTTCAGCCACTTGGCGACGTGTTTTGGCGTCCAGCGACGGACACTCAGTTGGTTCATTGCCTCCTCACTCTGAAGGCTGGAGAAAAAAACAATATCATAATTTTAAATCAAACAACTGAGCTATCCCTTACGTAATACCAGTTCCTCATTGACTTCCTCACCCACAAACAAAGGGATCTTAAGGAGAGGCACTACTTAGGCACTCCTTACTTCTGAATCAGCAATAAATACTCCTAACAAACCATGCCACATAGACAGAAAACAGCTTAACTTTGAAACAAATCTCTATGTCAGGTTTAAAACCAATCCTTAGCTACATATCCCAACTTT